AGTGCTGCCCAAAAGCAATCCGGCTGCTGCCCTTGCCGTCATCGTTGTTTTTTGGTTAAATACCTTTTTTGGTCCCTCTACTATTGAACAAAGCGCTCTTTTGGTCCCTATACTGAAAAAAATTTTCTTTTTGATCCTTAAAATTTAAAATCTAATCTTTTTTTATCCCTTCGTCAGTTAAGTGACAACGTAACACTATAATCCATTAAATATTTTGTTTTTTTTCTTTTTAATTTTGACATGTGATTACATGTTACAAAATTAATGAGTTGACAATAAAATTTATTTTTCATGTAATCAATAGGTTCTAATATAATTTTTTTTAAAAAAATCATCATTTTCCTTTTGTCTTTTCATTTCCCATTTCTATCCTCGTCTTCTCCTTAAATATAATTAACTTTAATTTCTTTCATCCTCTTCTTTCTCCTCACCTTATCCTCCTCCTCATCCTTAGCATCATCTTCACTCCTCTTTGCCATCCTCTTCATCATCCTGGCTTCCTCAAAGAACCTAGTTGTTGGGTTCCTTGCAAAACCTAGGTGTTGGGTTCCCCATGGAACCCAGATTTGCATTCCTCATGGAACCCAGGTTTGGGTTCCTACCCTCTTTTTTTTTCCTTTTTTTTTTTATTTTGAATGTATCTATTTAATGAAACCAAAGTTTCATATTCAGTTTTAAATTAGAGACACAAAGTTCTGGGTTTGACAATGAAAAGAATGATGTATTTTGCAAAGAAGAAGTTAAAGCTTACTGAATTGATAAATCACTTAGTAATTAATTTTTATTTTTATCAATAAAAATAGTCTTATAAATTCTCAATTATATCTTGATGAATCTCATATGTTAAGGGTGATTATGAATAAAAACAAGAATTTCGAAAGAAGGAAGTTGATATCTAGAGTGGAAACTGAAAAAAAAAAAAAAAATTAAAATTATTAAATTTAATCAAAGGAAATAAAAAATTAAATACTATATATTAAATGAATCCAATAAAATTGTTATAATAATTTAATTTTTTTCTATTCACATTATTATTTTTATCAGCATTGTATTTTTCAAATACTTTTGCGAAGAAAAAAAATAATTTTTTGGTCCACATCATCAATTTTTTTCCATGTGGCATTTTCATGTCTCTTTTTAGACCCTATTGATTTATGTGCAATAATACGTCAACAATGAAAAGAAAAAAGACAAAACATTTAACAAATCATAGTGCCACATTGTCACTTAATTGACAAAAGGACTAAAAAGGGGACATATTTTAAATTTTAAAGACTAAAAAAGAGATTTTTTTAGTATAGAGACCAAAAGAAAGCTTTTTCCAATAATAGAAACCAAAAAGGGTATTTAACTTTGCTTTTTCTTTGCTAGGGGAAAGGGAATGGGTAGACGAAAAAGAAGCAAAAATTCCAAGTTT